CTTGTTCTTCCTGTACCTTCCTGAACGCGAACTGATTACGTCACAATGATGTCATTTTATATAGCGACACATGAAACAGGACCCGGAAACATGGCCGCCTCCTAGCCTGCCATGTACTGAGCTCCGGAAACATGGCCGCCTCATAGCCTGCCATGTACTGAGCTCCGGAAACATGGCCGCCTCCTAGCTTGCCATGTACTGAGCTCCGGAAACATGGCCGCTTCATAGCCTGCCATGTACTGAGCTCCGGAAACATGGCCGCTTCATAGCCTGCCATGTACTGAGCTCCGGAAACATGGCCGTCCTAATGGCTCTAAGATCATATATCCACTTCAGAGCCCAGAAAAAGCGGTACCAATGGCAGGCTGAGCGGATTTAGATCGATGATCGGACGAGAGTCGACCTTTTTTCTTTTCGAAGTGTGTCTGAGCTCTGATTGGCTGGTGTCGGTATATCAGTCAGTGATTGGCTGGCTGGTGTCGGTATATCAGTCAGTGATTGGCTGGTGACAGTATGTCAGTCAGTGATTGGCTGGCTGGTGTCGGTGTATCAGTCAGTGATTGGCTGGTGTCAGATTGTCAGTCAGTGATTGGCTGGTGTCTGTATATCAGTCAGTGATTGGCTGGTGACGGTATATCAGTCAGTGATTGGCTGGTGTCAGTATGTCAGTCAGTGATTGGCTGGTGTCTGTATATCAGTCAGTGATTGGCTGGCTGGTGACGGTATATCAGTCAGTGATTGGCTGGTGTCAGTTTGTCAGTCAGTGATTGGATGGTGTCAGTTTGTCAGTCAGTGATTGGCTGCTGTCGGTGTATCAGTCAGTGATTGGCTGCTGTCGGTGTATCAGTCAGTGATTGGCTGGTGTCAGTTTGTCAGTCAGTGATTGGCTGGTGTCGGTGTATCAGTCAGTGATTGGCTGGTGTCAGTTTGTCAGTCAGTGATTGGCTGGTGTCGGTGTATCAGTCAGTGATTGGATTATCAGGTTCCCGCCGTTATTTCTGCAGAGGATTCTATCTGGTGAGGATTTCTGACTGACTGACTTTAGACACAGTGTGTGTATAGAGCCATTAGACAGTGTGTGTGTATAGAGTTATTAGACAGTGTGTGTGTGTGTGTATAGAGCTATTAGACAGTGTGTGTGTGTATAGAGCTATTAGACAGTGTGTGTGTGTGTATAGAGCTATTAGACAGTGTGTGTGTATAGAGCTATTAGACAGTGTGTGTGTGTATAGAGCTATTAGACAGTGTGTGTGTATAGAGCTATTAGTGTGTGTGTATAGAGCTATTAGACAGTGTGTGTGTATAGAGCTATTAGACAGTGTGTGTGTATAGAGCTATTAGTGTGTGTGTATAGAGCTATTAGACAGTGTGTGTGTATAGAGCTATTAGACAGTGTGTGTGTATAGAGCTATTAGTGTGTGTGTATAGAGCTATTAGACAGTGTGTGTGTGTGTGTATAGAGCCATTAGACAGTGTGTGTGTATAGAGCTATTAGACAGTGTGTGTGTATAGAGCTATTAGACAGTGTGTGTATAGAGCTATTAGACAGTGTGTGTATAGAGCTATTAGACAGTGTGTGTATAGAGCTATTAGACAGTGTGTGTGTATAGAGCTATTAGACAGTGTGTGTATAGAGCTATTAGACAGTGTGTGTGTATAGAGGCAGTATGTATGTGTATAGAGGCAGTGTGTGTGTGTGTATAGGGGCAATGTGTGTGTGTATAGGGAACGAGTAATGTGTGTGTGTATAGGGGGGGAGCAATATGTGTGTATAGGGGCAGTATAGGGGGGGCAATATATATTGTGTATAGGGCAGTGTGTGTATATGGGGGGCAATGTGTGTGTATGGGGGCAGTATGGGGGGCAATGTGTGTGTATGGGGGGCAGTATGGGGGGGCAATGTGTGTGTAGAGTGTGTGAACACCCCCCCCACCCCAAGCCTACCTGTCACTGGAGGCTGTTGCTTGGGGTCAGGCAGCCATCTTCTGCATCAGCATGGTCTGCTGCTTTACGGCGGGGGTGGGGCTTCGTTTGGGGGTGGGCCTGTGCCGGGGAGCCTGTCAGTGCTCCCTCCAGCCACAGACAGCCCCCAGCACCTCAGCACTGCATTCCCTCGGGCTGTAACAGACACACACACTGTTACAGTCCGAGGGAAGAACATGGCCAGCAAGTTGCTGGCATTTGGGGGGGCCCAAGGGGGGGCACAGCATGATGTTTCAATCTAAATGGTGTCATAAAGGTAATAAACCTGAAGCGCTTATGACGAGTAAGTTGAAAAAGGAAAATAATAAAAGAGTGATATCTAGAATTAGGGAAAAAGATACATATATAATGGACCCTGAACAAATAGCTGGAGCATTTGAAAAATTTCATAGAGATCTATATAATCTACCACATGATATAGTTGGCAATGAGGAAGAAATTAAAAAATTCTTTGAAAAGATAAAAATTCCCCAAATTCCTGAAAGTTATTAAAGCAATAGATAAACTTAAAGAAAAAACTGCCTCGGGCCAGATGGCTTTACAAATACACTTTTTAAAATTATGAAAGATCAATTAAAAGAAGAACTGGTAAATGTTTTTAACTCTGTGATAAATACAGGAAGATGCCCTGGAGAGTTATTGAGAGCAAATATCGTTCCAATTCCAAAACCAGATAAAGATCCAGAACTGTCAAGTAATTTTAGACTGATTTCATTGATAAACACAGACATCAAAACATTCTCATCGATTCTTGCGGATCTTCTGAAAGTTGTCATACCAGATCTTATTGACAATGACCAAGTTGGTTTTATTCCAGGTCGTCATCAGTTAAAGGACCACTCTAGGCACCCAGACCACTTCAGCTTAATGAAGTGGTCTGGGTGCCAGGTCCTTCTAGGGTTAACCCATTTTTTTATAAACATACCAGTTTCAGAGAAACTGCTATGTTTATGAATGGGTTAAGCCTTCCCCCTAATCCTCTAGTGGCTGTCTCATTGACAGCCACTAGAGGCGCTTGCGTTCTTCTCACTGTGATTTTCACAGTGAGAGCACGCAAGCGTCCATAGGAAAGCATTGTAAATGCTTTCCTATGCGACGGGCTGAATGCGCGCGCAGCTCTTGCCGCGCGTGCGCATTCAGCCCAGGAGGAGGAGAGAAGGAGGAGAGCTCTCCGCCCAGCGCTGGAAAAAGGTAAGTTTTAACCCTTTCCCCCTTCCAGAGCCGGGCGGGAGGGGGTCCCTGAGGGTGGGGGCACCCTCAGGGCACTATAGTGCCAGGAAAACGAGTATGTTTTCCTGGCACTATAGTGGTCCTTTAACAACATCCGGAAAGTAATAGACATTGTGGAGGCAACAAAGACTAAGGGGAACACACTCACGCTCTGTCACGTATTCATCAGCTTATATAAATGTGATTAATGGAATTTACTGTTCAGAAAGGAAAAGTTTTGCCAAACAACATTACTGTCCTGACAGGAAAAAGTTGTGCCAAGCAGCAATCAATCCACAGGAGGGTTTGTGCTGAGCAGCAATCATGCAAATAGGAACCTGGTAATTGCCTTTGGGGTCAAAGGTCGGTTACAACCAATCAGATCCACAGGCGGGGTATTTAGGCTCAGTTCTCCTCTTGCTCAGTGCCCTGTCGTGGTTTCCCTTGTGGTTGTCCGAGAGCGCTTTATTGATTCTGTTAATTCTGGTTATTTGACTTTGGCATTGTTTTTGACTTCCCTGTTTTCTGGCATCCTTGACCCCTGGCTTTTCCTTACCGTTGTGTCTTTTTCTGTATCCCTTGACCTCGGCTATTCCTGACTATTCTTTGATACGTTAGTCCGGCCACTCTAAGGTCCGGTATACGTTACCTATCAGTCCTCTGTGTTACACAATTCTACGTGCTGGATCAGACTGTAATCCTGACGTGCTCATATCAATAGACGCAGAGAAGGCGTTTGATAGGGTAGTGTGGGCCTTTATATCAGCTACATTAAAACAATTTGGATTTACAGGCTCATTTTTAAAAGCGGTATCTGCTCTCTATGACGCTCCACAGGCAAAAGTCATGGGATTTGGATTTACCTGTCAAATTTTTAACATTAAATTTATGGACTCCCAAACGATAAAAATTGTTTAAAAAATATTTGGGAATAACTATTACATTAGAGGTTAAAAAAGTCAATAGAAGCTAATTTTTTTACCCCTATTAAAACAAACTAATAAAAACCTACGGGACTGGAGGAGGTTGGGATTCTCGTTGTCGGGCAAAATCAATATATTAAGGGCCTATATCTTACCAAAATGGCTCTATTCATGGAGAATGATTTCTCTTAATTGCCCCAAAAACTGGTTATTAATGCTACATGCCTCTTTTTTAAAATTTGTGTGAGATGGAAAGAAACCAAGAGTAAAAATGAAACATTTAGCCAGTTTAAGACAAGATGGAAATTTGAGTTGCCCAGAAATTCATCAATGTTATCAAGCCAGTAGATTGTTTCACATATCACAGATTGTTACGTTGCCTTTGAGACTGTATAGTAGCCCAGGAATGAAATTTACACCCATAATGGCATACCATTTGCAATAGTAGACAACCCAAGGTATTGCACCGGGAACTGGTCAAGAAGATGAATAGCATATGTAATGTGGT